CAACATCTTTGTTTGTATGTGGTGCTGGAGGATCGAACCTGGGCCGCACGCATGCCAGGCGAGCGCGCTACCGCTTGAGCCACATCCCCAGCCCCAAGGAAAATTTTTTATTTCATTTTTTTGAGAACATGATAAGAATTTTTGTCAAAACAAGATAACAGACTCAAGTTAGGTATTCTGATAGTTTTGGACTCCAGGGCTTCTCTAGAAGAACAACTTCTCCTTATGTAAACAAAATGCTATCCACAACAGAAAGCACCAAGTATTCAAGATAGTATTGAAGACAATGAACATGTATAGGGAGAAGAAAAAGTTCCTCAGTTTCATTTTCTCAGGATATGTGTTGCACTAAAGGTATGAGACTCATCTTGGTGAAAATGCTTTTATTATAGAAAACTTTAATTTTTCTAGTGCCGGGTTTCTGTTCTCGCGACTAAAAGGCTCAGATGTCACTCTAGTTAAGCTAACTGGGCTGCACGAAATAACCACACAAGAGACACAAATACCTTTTCCTTTGGGGTTGCTGTGACGGCTCCTCTGACCTTAAGGGTCCACAGAAAGAGCGAGAGCACGCGCTGACCCCTTTTATTGAGGAGAAGCTATTCAAATGAGGCAAGGGGTCAGGTTTCAGGGGGCTGAGTCTATCTTCATGATGTCCACTGTCAGCAGGTTGACTGACACCTGGGTAGGCCACACCCAAGGGCACAGTAAGAGGAGGGGACCCACACCAGGCACTTCCATGGAAGATTCTATCCTAAACAGGGCAAGGAGTTATATTACAAAGAACAGGTGAGCATAGCTTCACCCATGGGGCTGTAGCAAGACACACCCATTTCTATGACTGAGCGCCTCAGCACCCAGCTGGGGAGTGTAACTCAGTCACCCGTAAGGTTGGCCTCCCACATTCTAGCTCCCCTCCAAAAATGTTTCAGGCCCTGACCTGGACAAAGAAATCAAAGTAACACTAATTTTACAGGAAACTTAAGTCTATAATATAACTGTACTTACCATCTCTTTTATTCTAAAAAGGTTGAACATCTGGGGCCTGAGTGGGTGCAGCTCAGTGGAAGAGCACCTGCCTGATGTGCGAGGCCCTGGGTTCGATCCTCAGCAGCACAAAACAAAACTTAACATCTATTCATCATTATCAGATCCATAGACTTAATTTTTTCTCTTAGGACA